TGAATACATCGATGAAAATAATAGATAGAGGTTAGTAGAGCCATTAGATGAAAAACATGAGCAGGAGTAGATAGGTCGAGCATATGAAGATTTTTTAAGTACTCAGATAGGAGGGCAACTGTAGCCTTTTCTTGTGCAACAACGTCTCATGTGAAAAGTTTTGTTATTCACACATTTATGTGTGAATAAAACAATTCCAACAGTGGTGTGAACACGGGCAGTAATTTTACTCGAAATACTACCAATAACAAAACTTATCATTGTGTGTAAACTATTGAAATATAATTATACTTTATTTGATCTAATCCACAATGCTCAAACTTTTTACTGATATTAAGTCCCTTGTGAACATCTGAAAAATTTGACTTTCAAAAGACTGGTTACTTAACAAAGAATATTCCTTTCGATAACTTTTTCATCAGGTTCTGCATTTATATATCCAAAATAATAAAATAATTAGGGTTACTAACAACACTAAATAATAAATAAAATAGATGTAATCAATAATATGAATAGATTACAGTTCAGTAGTATCTGTGAGTGGGATAATATGCATCGACACAAAACTACACTGACTATTAGACAATTTAGGAAAAATTATTATACAGAATTCATGAATTTATAGGCTTGACAGAAGCCCAGGGGAGAGGGAGTGGTTCAACCTGTTTTTTATGTACACACAGCACCGGTTGTCTCAGGCAGATTTCAGTAGCCTCTGCTGTCTGGAGTATTCACTACCTGGATGCTTTTAGCGATTTGTTTGGTAATCGATAGATGATGGAGAAGGCTTCTTCAATGCTAGTTTCATGACCAATTTGGACCAGGTGGTCTGATATCGAGCTATTGATTATTTTCACTACACTTTTATTTAACCATACTGTTAGATGAACCCGAGCATGAAAACTCAAGTTCTAAAACCAACGGTCAATGTAACTCTCTCCACAAGGGCATTTGTGAATCGGTAGATGCAATTAGGGGTGGCAAGTTTGGGTACTTCGTCGTTCAACTGAGTAATCACAACCGGTTGTTCAGAAAATATGACCTGTATTTTGCCAACGTTAAAAGCTCTTTGAATATATTTTCTTGAATTATCAGTAATTATTTCACTCAATACGTCAACATTGAGTTACAGTCGTGTATATAAAGTCATATATATATATATATATATATATATATATATATATAACGCGAAGAACCTTAGAAGGCCTGGATTTCGCGGATGATTTATGTTTGATGTCACACGAAATCGAAGACTGGCAAGCGACAACCGACCGACGAACTGTTTCAAGAAGCAGCCGGTGAAGACAGGACTCCAGGTGAACATAAACAAGACGGTGGTTATGAAAATAACCAACCAAAAACAAAAATGGCAGCATCCAGGGCCAATCACCATCAACCGGAGGGATTTGAAAGGGCTGACTTCAATCACTTCACTTATCTAGCATTGAGCATTGTCTCAACTGCACGCAGTAGGAACAGATCAAGATGTCAAATCGAGAATCATCGAGAGGGCGAGAAACACACACATTCATCAACCTGAAACCAATCTAATCTGGAAATCTTCGTCAATCAGCCAGCATCAACAACAAAATACTGTAGGATTTTCAATACAAACAACGTCAAGTCAGTCAGCTCTTCTATACGGATCGGAAACTAGGCGGGAGGGTCACAAAGAATATTTCCAACAGCCTGTTGCAGACCTACCTTTATCAACCAATAACTGTCTTCCTTGGCTCTATACTGAAGATCAGATGGCCGGGCCGGAAAGAATCACCAACAAGAAACTATGGGAACAAACAAACAAAACAAGAACCGATCCCCCAACAGATATGCAGGAGAAAGAGGATGGAGATGAAATGGACACTCACTGAGGAGGCTGTCGGGTGACATCACGCGGGCGTCAGGCCATTGCTCGAGTGGAACCAGGCCGAAAGGGAAGCGGCGAGTGGGACGTCAGTGCAGGGGTGACATATAGGAGATCGTGTGAAGAGGAGTTGAAAGAGTATGGACTAACATGGATGCAGGTGGAAAGTACAGCAGAAGGAAGACAGAAGCAAATGGAGACGTGCAGTTGAAGCACTATATTCCACTAGGAATCCAAGGGAACAATTATAACAATATAAAGGCTTCTTATTTACAGATGGAGAATTGTCCTTTCCTACTTTCTTGGTCATGTCTTCCATGATCAACTTTTCTTCACAGCGACTTCTGATTAAAGTGTCTTCAAGAATCATAAGTTTATCTTTACTTACGTCTTCTAAGCATATAGATGTGACGTTTTAAATTTGACTTTCCCTAAAACAAACATTTTATTGTGAATTGCAGTTTATGCAGCAGAATCGGGAAGGCATTTCCAAACGCCATTCTCAGACTTTTATCAACAGCTATCTTCACCGGCTGCATCATGAGGACCAAATGGCTGGCCAGAAAGATTTCAGTAACCGGAAACTACGGGAACAAACCGACTTAGAAAACCTATCGCTCAACAAATATGTTGGCGAAAATGGAGATAGATCGGGCATGTATTGAGGAAACCGTCGAATAGCACCACGTGTCAGGCCCTCGAGTGGAATCCAAATGGGTGGAATCCATGAGTGGGTCACTGGTGCGAGGGTGACATGGAGGAGATTGTGAGGGGAGGAGATGAGAGATTATGGTCAGACGTGAATGCAGATGAAGAGGACAGAAAAAGAATAAAAAATTCCGTAGATGTGTTGTTGAAGCCAGCTGTATGTTCCACTCCGAACCAAGACAACCATAACAATGGTAAAACGAACACAGAAAAATGAATTATGACTACAAACGGTTTAGTGTTGTAGTATTGTCGACTTAAAGTGTACTAGGGTTATGAATAATAGAGTGTATTCTAAATATACTATTCAGTGGTTAGCTTATTAGACGATCTATTGTGATTGAAATATCGACCTACTCCCTTATGGTTCCATTGATTCTTCATTGTTAACTTCTCTGACCAGAACAACTCTCTCTCTCAATTAATCATATTTTTTCCGCATCACCTGACCATATGTCAACATTTATCATAAGTAGTGTGTGCCATTTCTAATATGATTTATGCGTTCTTTCCTGTTAAAGTGAAAAATGCATTTTACTGGTGGGTAGAAAATTGGGAATATGGGAAACAAATTCATGATTTATTTTTCATTTCTTCGCTTTCTGAGTGGGAAATAAGGTTGTGGGCTTGAGTTCTGAAGTAAAGGTAGTGCTGGATATTATCTTCTTGACGGGATGAGGTTACCAGCCCAACAGGTGAACTTACCTCTTTCCTGAGTCTAATATCGTCTAGTTTAAGTTCCGAAGTATATCGGCTGCGGGTGGAATCCTTAACCACGTGTGCGTGTGTGTATGGTTGCGAGCATTCTCTTGCCGGACGTAAGCATAATACTATCATTCGATAACGAATAGATTATTTAGTTCTCGTGTTCCATCCCGTTGGGGATCTATCAAGTGTATGTACTTCCATCTTAGTACTTGGCTTTATTCCCGACAAGACTGAAATCCAGTGCCTATCGTTTTATGTGCTTCTGAGTCACGATAGCCACCCTTCTTCTAATGACTACTAGTTGTTATCCAACGAATCTGAATTTTGATAACCAGCTCACTGATGGTCAATGGATGAACTTTCTCAAGTTCATCGAAGGCATTATTTTGGGCAGGGCAATATCGTAACCTCACAAAATTAGAAATCAGGATTCATTGAATTCCGATCTAAGTGGCTAAATAATCAATGAGCTTGGTCTGGTAACCTGAGGCTCGCGAGTTAGATCTTCAGTGGAGTAGTGTGTGCACAAAACTGAAGAATCCAGGAATAGGACGAAGCGGCTATCTAGTGATCCTTGGTGTCCAATGATCCCTGTAACTACTGTTGGTTCACGATGCAAACATAAGAATCAATGTCATCTTTGGATCGTAATATGAAGTCATACAAATTTGTAATTGACCTCCAACCAATCGATGTGCACTTTATGAAGAAAATGAAGAAAGCATTTCACCGAGCATTCAGTCTTTTTTCAGATACAACGATGTTGCATTCCTTGAAGATTCTATGTAGGAGGCGAATATTTCGGAGGAAACTATTATCAGATGATTAGAGGCTATCGGCAGGAAGCCCTGCTTGACCTGAGTTTTTTGCTTCTTGGTACTTTATATTCAGTAAGGCGTATCTGTAATCTTCAAGAAACTCATGTCCCTTCTGAGACTTGAATCAGTGTCACTTAGTGCGGCAGTCAGAGACTGTATCACTGAGCTATTTGGGCTCACGATTAACCTCTTGTATGAGTGTATTGAATGATCGAATGGTCACTAGGTAGCAAGTAACCACTCTCATGTATCTAGTCCTATGCTTGGTATAGATTGAATTCAATCAGTCAATTTTGCATTGTGGCCAACATGCTAGTTGGCTCGCCAATACAGTTATTAGATTACGGGATTTTCATCATGAGCTGACATTAGTTAGAGAACCATTGGAAAACCTGTGAATACTGGGCAGCTATTTCGTCCTAGTTTGGGACTCTTCATCAGTACGCAACCACCGACAGAGTTCGAACTCAGGGCCTTCTGGTTACAAGGCGAGCTCGTATACCATTAAGCCACTGGGACCCGATCAAGTGGTTCACGAATTCTAACTTCTCCCAGTTCACGACATAGCGCGACCCCAACCAATGTCTTCGGGAAGTATTTGTCTTCATACCCGACCTGCTGCACCCTACTGGTCACGACTTCTCACTAGAACCCCAGGTAACTACCTACCTGAATAGGGCAAGTCGCTAGTGTTTGAATGCAGCCGTACTTCAGTCTGCGCCAAACAAAAGACTAGGCGTATAACTCTACTTACTGCCCATTGTCCAATCAAAGTAAGAATATTTTATTGTGTGTAAACCAATTCATAGAGTAAAATGGAGCAGTTTCAAATTTTCATCTCAATACTAACGCTAACCTTTGCCTCCTTCTACAACTATTCGTTTCTTTTTTTTCTTTTCTAGGCACTTCTCAAGTGAATTCATATGTCCACATATTCTGTTTATACTCAATTTATCTGGATACACTATTCTGTAATCTAACCTTTCTACAAACATTCTTTTCAAGTCTAGACGCTTATCTACGACTAAAGAATCCAATATTTTATTTGTCTTCAGCACGTAGACGTCCAGCGTTATGGTTGAAAATTGGTTCTCCATGGTTAATGGCAAGTCTGCAAGCTATCGGTCAATTAGCTTTGAGTGATCGACGTCAAGTTCGATTGCATATGACAACACTAAAAGCAGTGACACCACCACATCAATACCATCCTTTATTGATATCCTCATCGTCAACATCGTCGTCTATAAATTCTAATGAGAAAGTATTCGACTCTGGTTTGAATACAGCTTGTCTCTTGCCTGATCCAAATTTTTTGATCATACGAACTGTGATCGCATATGCGCTACCGTTGATTACTTGTCTTATATTAGTTATATTACAACTTCATGGTCTACGTCGGCTGCGTCATCACTCTTCTGAAATGCTCAGTGCTTTATTAAGTGTTCGTAGTAGAAGTACCAGTGAATACGAACAGATAATGTACCCACAGAATAGTTCCTTTTATCAAAGACATGAAATCGCCAACACGAACAGACGAAATCCATCCAACTTTCATAACTCTGAATTAATTTGGAAGGTAAGAGATACACCATCAATTCTGAATAAGTTGAATTCGTCGACTAGTTCTTCACACACTATAACACGCAATCCTTGTAGACGTTTATCATTTATGACAAATTCTTATCATTTGGATACATCATATACAAATGAGACACTGATTCCAGAAAGTAATCCATCTATGGATCGAATACAACATTTAACTAATCCTCCATTGTCGACGATCATTTTGTCAACAGGTTATATGCCAATTGAAAATGTTAATGAACTTCAATTGAATAAGACAACATCAGTTCCTGTATTTCAATGTCCTGCTCATGGATGTATAAGGGTGACCCAGTCCATGAATCCGTTAGCTGTAACTTGTATTCCAGAAAGTTCTGATCAACACACAAAAGATAATTTGTCAACTGTACAGAACACATCAACATCATCCGAAAACCGTCAGTGTACTGATCATAATGTCCGCGCAACAGAATCTATTCCCATCTCAGTCACTGCTGTTAGCAGTACAATTTCTGATCCCCTGTGAATAATAACGATTCACTGATGGTAAAATCGAATTCAACCTGTAATGAACCTGTGACATCAGATACAATATTGCTTAACATAGATGGTACACAAGTCAAGTTGCTGCCGTTCAGTTATCAACATGATCCACTTAGTTCTAGTGAACTGAGTCATTATCAATACTTGCCATCAATGATACAAACAAGTCTACCTCCACAACATCATCAGCATATTACAACTACAGCACATGAAATTCAAGGCATACCAACTGATAAACTGTTTAAGTCGAAATCAGATTATCAGATTAAATCTAAGGGGGAAGTTAACTCACCAAATTCTTGTGATCAGTTGATTCGATCAAACAGTATGAAGACAAATTTCGCTCAACCAACTCCCCTAGAAACATTAACCAATGACAATAGTACGAATAACTTATCTAAAACAAATTTATGGTTAAATGCATATCAAGGGGAACAACTGGTTGTAGCGATAAATTTAGTCAGTTGTATAATCGCAGTGGGTACATGGTCTCCGTATATTTTAGCTTCGCTGGCACACGGTTTATGCCAACCGATAAGTATACCGAAATCAATGTTTAATCAGATAATGCATCCTTTATCGTCATCTACCTCACCTGTAACTATAAATTCTCATTTGGTTTCATCACCATCGTCTCCTTCAAATACCCCTGGTGGCAACCTACTATCCAATCCCACTATTAGTAGATGTTGGATTCATTTAAGTGTTGACCGATTATCAGATTTTCGTTGGTGGGCATATGCAAGTTCTGGTCTCCTGTTACCGTGTTTGTTATTCTTTCTTGATTTAGGTTTACGTGAAGGTTGTTGGAGAGCTTTACAGTATAAGACAAAACCACCTAATGAAAAGTATGATTCTCCGAAAACAGCTACACATAATCCTAATAGTCAATATTCCAAGTCTATAAATACTACTAACAATAATCAGAGTAGTAGAGAAGAGGCCAGATATAACCAGTTAGGATCTGTTAGAATCTCCAATATCCCATATGATGCCAATAGTACATCGAATAACAGATCTGTGAAACTTCAAGAATTTGAAATGACTTCATCCATCTCACATACGAAATAATAACAGGCATGGTGGTTGAGCACATTTTCACTCTTGTACATAAAAGGCTACCGAACATCCGAATGATCAGATTTGAACTCAAAAGCTACATTTTAACCTTATGCCAGTAAAAAGTGAAACAATTTATGAATTCTTCGATTCAACAGTGGAGAGCACTTCACGGTAGTACTCTTCTGAAGCCAGTGATGATGATGCAGCTCCACCGGAATAAGGTGTAAACATGCGTTACAATGTCTGATACGTGCTACTGTAATAAATAACTGTGTATTGATAAACTTGTTCATTTGATTCCACACGTAGCCATTTAACGTTAACCAAAGGCAGTAACATTCCAGTGCAGTGTAGTCACTTTGTTTTAATATTATTATTAATATTATTGTTATTATTACTAGTATTGATCGTATTTTCTAATTTTCTGGTTATCAGTTTGAATTTTTCGCTACTTGTCTTCCTTTATGAGGGGTTTTATTGCATATACTGTGAAAGCATACTGTAATCATAATAAATAGGTGATATTGTTATCATTTTGATATGTATTCTGATTAAAACAAAATAGTTAGAACGAACAACAAACTGTAATAATAATAATAATTTTTCCTTCACGTTCCCAGTGGAACATAGGGCTCCAAGCTAGAGGCTTGAAGTTTCTATAGCAGTGTTTAGTTTTTACAGGATGGGGTTGCTAGCCCCATGCCCAGCCTTTCCTCTCTACCAGGATTATTTCTGGTTTAGCGAGGTAAAGGTGTGCGTCGGCCGGGGATCGAACTCCGGACCATGTACATGGTCGGCGAGCGTCCTAAACGCTGTGCCACCGACGCACGAACAACAAACTGTGGTTTCAATAAAATTTCGTTTCTTCAGGCTCTACAATTATAAATCCATTAATTTAAGCATACAATAGACAACCGGCAAGGGAAAATTACAATCATATCAGAAAGTGTATTGTGGAACAAATATAAGATAGGATGGAACAATCGTTTCAACTATAAGCAGACGAAACTGAGGAGGATATCAAACCAAGGATCGAGAAAGCAAGACAAGCTTTCATTACTCTCACCAAGTCTGTGTGTGGTCAACAGCACTCAGCATAAAAATGAAAATGAGATCCGGATTTTCAACTCCAATGTAAAGTCAGTGCCACTTATCACACTGATCAGAGACTTGGCCAGCGCGTCATATAGAACATCTCAAACAAACTACAGACCTTCATTAACAGCTATCTTTGATTAACACTTCGCTTAAGATCAGATAGCCGGTCAGGAAAGGTCAGCAACAGGGATCTCTGGCAGTGAACGAAACAACCAAGAACCGATTGTGCAACAAATAAGCAGGAAGAAATGGAGATGGATTGGTCATACTCTGAGGGCACAAACCATCAAGTGACATCATTAGACAAACCCTCAAGTGGAACCCGAAAGGAAAGCGGTGAGTTGGTCGCCAGTGCTGGGATGACTTGGAGGAGGTTATGTGAAGATGAGATGAAAGCATGTGGGCAGATTGGAGCCAGGTGAAAACTCTAGCAGAGAAGCAAACGCAATTGAGACGCGCGGCTGAAGCCCTATGTTCCTTTAGAAATTAAAGGAAACAATAATAAATTAAAAGTTAATCTGAACGACGAATATTCTTTTCAATCATTTCTCCTCTTCAGGTTCTTACAATTATAAGACAATTATGATATTTGTTGTCGTTACAATAAAGGCCAGTTATGCGGCGGATGCATTTTTGCTTAACGTAGAATAACAGATTAGTTATGGGTGTCAAAATAAATAGTCGTAATTGTGAGACAAACTTGCTCTGGGCTGAAATCGATTAGAAAATATTGTAAAATGGGAGACAGTGGTGGTGATTAATCATAATAGATTTGTACAGGGTGGGGTAGGAAAACTGACAAGTCAGTTCAAGGTTATAAAAGGTGTCAGGTGTGTGAATGGCTAGTACAAAGTGATCTGTATTAAACAGGAGATGGTAAGACTGCAATGAGACAGGTTCATAATGAAATAACGAATATGTGAAATGAAACAGGTGGAGGCATAAATTGAGAAAACAGATAATATACACTAATAATAAGTCCGTATAATAATAATATAATAATAATAATAGTCAGTTAGTTTTTTAATATGCATGGTCAATGAGAACATGGGACAAAATGAGATGAAATAATTTAATCTAATGACGTATGGTTATATATGTAAATAAATATAGTCAACAGAAAAGTGCAGGTTTCGAGAGTGAGTATAAACAGGGTGTGTGAGACAATATGAAAATAAAACAACTATTGGGGCGGTCTAGAAAATAACGACAATAAGAATGATTGTAAATTAATAACAATGATATAGTGTAAAATTACTCGTACTACTGGTGAATGATTGTCAAATAATAATAATAATAAAGAATATAATGAAGTGGAATGAACAGGATTTTGTAAATACGATAATAAGTTAGAAAAGCACTAATAATAATAATAATAATTTGCTTTATTCCAAAAACAGTTCTAATGATGCAGCAGGGAATTTTAAGTATCCAGTAAAATGTTGCATCTAATTTACTCAAAACGACAAAAAAAATTAACAATAAATAATAATAGCAAAACGTTGTTATAGCAGCTATGTAGCAATTACAGTATGTGATACGGAGAAAAATATGCATAAAGTGTAAAATTATAGTGATAATAGCAATACCAACTAAAATAAAATAGCAAAGTTATAATTAAACGATAGAAAGGGTGACACCATAAAATTACAGAAATATGAACAAGGAAAAAGTCGATTCACTTTGCTAATTACATAGCAACTTATATGTCTCTCGTCTAACAGTGTCTCCATCACATAAAATACGGGCTAAATAGGGTATTGTGGAATTTTTGTACTTAGTGGTTCGAGCATATAACTTCTAACATAGACTTCTCTTACTACCTGATGAGATGCAAGGGGTTTGACAGTACGGCCTTTGCCCATTTTGTACAGGATGATATATGTCTGTCGACTATAATATTGGCAAGCTGATGCAGTGGCATACCACAAGCCCTACTCACGGCATTTAATATCCTTCGTAATATGATGTAGTCTTTTTTGAGCAGGCCAGGAAAGATTAATGGAGACCACTATAGTACAATAGGTAAAATACAGGAGTTTAAAAACTACAAAACTAAAGGTTGGTTGATACCTGATTGTCTTAACTTTTTAATGTAGAAGGTAAAACAAAACATTTTCTTAGAGACAGATAAGATGTGGGATGACCATGAAAGGTCAGAGGAGAAAGAACTAATCCAAGGTACTTAATGCTTGACTTGTTTTCAGTTTCAGTCCCACCTATGCTACAGGCATCATGGGAACTAACTAGTTCAAGTAAGTCACGTCGATGCTTGAAAGTGAAGTTAACTGCCCGACATTTGGAAGGATTTACCATAAGACCATTTGACTTAGACCACTTAGTGATGTCCAACAGAAGCTATTAAGTTTGGAGCTGTCAGACTCGGAAGTGATAGGCAGTGATATAGTCAGATCATCCGCATATTTGACAAAGTTAGTTTCGTTTGAATGAGACGAACAAATTTGGCACCTTTGTCTAAACAAGAAACAACATTATGATATAAGACAACCGCAGCATCCAAGGTAATTCTACCATGTTTGTAAGCAAATTGTTTAGGATCATTAAAAGGTTTCAATGAAGGTTCAAGACGAAGTAAAAGTAATTCTTCTATCAATTTTAAAAAAAGAGAAGTAATTGCAATAGGCCTAAATTTAATATCACTACCAGAAGATGGTTCTGGTATGGGGATAATTTTAATGTTTTTCCATGCAAAAGGTAGAATGTTACAGGAAAAGGAAGCATTAAAAATGTTAGTAAGAGAGTAATACAAAACATCAGCACAGTCCCTGAGGATAATTGCAGGTACGCCATCAGGACCAAGGATTTGGAAAGGTTTAAGAGACCAGAGAAATTTAAGCACATCAGGGGTATTAAAACCACTAAAATTATTGTCTATGTGATTTGTAGCATTAGGAAGGATTTCGACAGAAGAGCGTATGATAGACTTATTAAGAGTATCAACATTAAGAGATGAGACAGTAGTACATCGCTTACCGGTAGTAATTTCTTTGAAAAGTTTCCACAAACTAGAAGGGCTTTTACATGACAAAAATCTTTGGTTATATAAAATATTTAGTCTTTGCATTTCTAGTTTTATCAGAGTATTTGACCTTTTTACATCTGACTTATCATTTGTTTTGAACAAACGTTCTTTATCTACTTAAACCTAAGGTTATAAAATCATAAGAAAAGTCATGAGATCACAAAAGTCGAAAATGAACGTTTGTCAATGAAACAGAGGAATAGAAGAAGAAAAGAAAAGAAAATTGTGAAAGGAATTTATAGGGTTAAAGGAGGATTTGTTGGCCTTTTTGTAGGCCAAGATAAACAGAGAGGCCGAACATACTTCTTCCGTATTCAAAGAGATGGTCTTCTGGTACTCATTGCAACGACTTCAGCTACTGATTGATATAAGACGTAGTCGAGCTCCTCCAGATAAATTACTAGGAACGCGGTAAATAACTGAGAACGCCTGGTCAAGTCTTATTGGGTGTCCAGTATCTACCTAGTGGGCTAAGACTGCACTATCTGCGGATTTGGTTCCCCCTTTATTCAATCATACAGGTACATGTTCACGCGCGCGCATGGATAAAGTCCTCTGAGTACGGTCAATGTAACTAGCTCCACATGAGCAGTTGAATTCATAGATACACATTGATTAGACCATCTTTGATAATTTATCCTTGACTTGCTGTGTGAGTACCGGTTTAGTTGAGAAGTTGAGTATTAGTTTAGCTGCAGGAAATGTTCTTTCTACTGCTTTATTAAGTAGACATTTAAGAATGTAACTGAACTTAAGATACAAAGGTTTCTTGTATACGTTATCCACCTTTACCTTGTCTTTAGGTTTTGACATATACGTTTTTAGGAAGATCTCTGGATTTCCATTTTCTTGCAGTGTAAGTTTCAGT